GCGTGACTGCGTTAGAAATACATCGTGCTGTAGATACAAAGGAGACAGTAAGACTTGATATATTCTTTTCCACATTTTTTTTTAATATATTAAGTTTACAGATTGAAGTTTTTATTTCTGTTTCGCAAGTCGATTTTCGCTGAACCTCTACGCACAAATTGGTTCGGTTATTTATAATCGATCGGAGATCTAATCCAACTTCGTAGATTTGGAGCAGACGATGGCAATTGAAACTTTAATTTGCAGTATTGAGCTTGTAAATGCACCTTGCAGCCCTTCTTAACTAAGCCATGTAGTAAATATCGAGGATACCGACAGACATTATTTTCTCATTTGACTTATTACAATTCTAGTGTTAATAATTTATTTTATTAATGCTTTGCTTAGAGCGAGTAAAATCGTTTGGCGATTGACAGATTTTATTTTTTGTAATAAGAATTAGTATTTTTTTGTGCCGTTATGTTATATTTTTGCAGTCTACAGAGCGTGGAGCCGTTTTGATAATGAGCAGCTAAAATCATATAACTTTCTATAATACCTAGCCTTATTGACAGTATTTATATTTTGATCCTAAACGGCATCTTATATGATAAGTGTGTTAAATGGACAGGCCAGAGGACCCCTCTAACCTCCCATCCTCTAGGGTACAGGTATAGACGAGCAACTATAACCAGAGGGAATGCAGCCACAGATATGCCTAAGCCAAAGGGATTTCTGGCTTGGCCATGTAGGCATTGTTTGTACAGTAAGGTATTGTTCAGGTAAACAAACAATTAAGACTTCGGATACACATTTTTTTTAAACCTTTACGTTTCTTATCTATATTTATATCAGTACACGAGTTTTATTTATTAAGAATTTGATTTCAATTTGAAGATTTAGAATATATAACGTTTCTGTTTTTCAGATTAAGACACACACATATCGTAGCAAGATATCATGCTTTTAACATGCCTGTCTCGTTTTTATTGATTGTCAACAGAAAACATATACAAATAATTCGGATCTTTTCCGTTTGGCGCCTACCAACAGTACAAAAATGACATTCTTACAAGGGTTGAGGACGCGCATGTGTCTGGCATAATGAAACTAGCAGTCATACCCAAAATATTGAAAGTATGTGGCACAGTTTAATTTGAAGCGAAGAAATAAGCGTCAATGCGGAACTCATCGCCAAATGGTTGACTCTTATCTATGTGAATTTATATGGAGAAATAGAAACAAAGATGAAGATTTATTCAAGAAATATTGTTTAATATTGCAGAATTCGCTAAATAAATATCATATGATGTTTCATTGTTAATTATTTTATTTTATTGCATTACTGTTATTTTCCAAACGATCTGTTGGTGGGCGCCAAACTGAAAAGACCCAATAATTCATTTTTATAAGTCAAAATTTATGGTTTTTACACTTTGTAGGAAAGTCAATTCTATGAAAGAGGAAACGTTTAAGAGATAAGCCATAAGGTAAATTAAAGTGTGGAACCACGAAACAACGAGTAAATATATATGTGTCCCAAAATACTAAGCTCTGAGGTAAGGAAACAGAATAATTTGTAACCCCGCTTGTTTTCACGCATATGATTTCAAACACTTCCAACTTCAGTACGCACCGTTAAATTGTTATCAACGCATTTTTTGTTTGTCTTTTTACCTCAAACCTCTTGGAGCGTGTCCAAATAGGCAAATATAACACATACACATACTTGACCTCCAAGGTATAAAGTGGAAAGTAGCATGTACTAGTAGTTCTTCTTCAGTCTGAGAAGTTATATCCTAACTCGGTAACTAATGGATGTGAGTCTATGTCAGCAACTTCTTTTTTCTTTTCTAAGACGTGTTTTCTAGTCGTAATTTTAAGTTGAAGAAGAGAAAAAAAGAAACAGTAACCCCCAAAAATAACACAGATGTTAAAAGAAAACCAAAGTTTAATGGTACACAATAAATATTCACAAATGAGACTGCCTCCAGTCCCTTAATACAATGAAATACTTGCTCAATAATTTAGTATATGAAGATGTATCCAGTTTAATTTTTAAATATTTATTACGTACCATTAAACTTTGGTTTTGTTTTAACACCAGTGTTATTTAAAATTTACATAAATGTCGTTTTAACCCTAATCCAAAGTATATTTAAACATTTGAAATTTAATGTAACTCAAACTGTTACGTGTTCTTTTGTTTCATTCTGTGCTGTTTTTTACTAACGCTAAGTAAAGGTTTCTGTTTCAAACACTAAATGCTTATTAATATAACCTGCATGTCAGAAATATCCGGTATTACCTACAAACCTCATTAGTAAGTTTAAAAGAAGTGTGACTTATTTTTTAACTTAGTAAACATAGTAATGAAGTTTGTAATTAGTTTCCATCACTGTATGACAGTCGGTTGCTACGAGGGTTTCTAATCCTTCATTATCTTCAGTTCAGTACACTAAAATCTGTGGCTGCTAAGTAATAATTTTTTTTGTATAATTCTCTGGAGAAAGATATTGGTTTAATCGAAAATAATCTCTTCCTTAATCAGAAGAAAACCTTCCAAAAAAAGCGTTCCTGACGAATATTATTAAAATTTCGGTAAGTATATGCATATCAAGTTTCCGGCTATACTTAGCGACTCACGAGATCTAAGCAGGAAAGAATGTGGAAGAAATGTTTATTCCTTAGAATTAGCGATAGAGTCGACTTCATCGGCTTTTTAAATAAGTTTTTCTGAACTATCAATGCAAATTACATGTATGAGTATATAACTTTGTTGGTTACTCGGTCGAACAAAAAATATTTTTGTTTGTTTTTTGAGCAAAACCCCATTGAACTATCTGCTGTGTCCACGCGGGGGAATTGAACTCCGGATTTTGGCATCGTACCGCTCTCCCACCAGGGGCCAAAAAATAGTAAATAAAAGCACCACAAATACTTCGGTTAATCACAAAGGTACCATAAATGCTACAGTCAATCACACTAATTATAGATGGTATCCTCTGTATTTTTATATATATAATATGAGAGAATTTACCCAGTTTTTTGCCTAGTTCTTTACGCCGAGTGCCATTGGTTAAATTCGGATCTTTTGCAATCTACTTTGTTGTAGCAGCTTGGATTACAGCGTGGTACAACAGAGGACGTTTACTCCCTGAAAACATATTCAAATAATAAACGGTTTTGTACATTATTCATTTGTGTGCATTACCACAAGTACTTTAGAATTACAGCAAAAATCTAGTAAAGAAGACCGGGAAGGCTGATGGATTGAATCTCCAAGAGGTAACGCGCCGTTTCGGACTGTTCCGCCCCAGTTTAACCCCTGCTGGGTGTTGTAAGAAGCAAAAACAAGAAAGTATTTAATATCATGCAATACCTGGATCCCGTCGGTAATTTGGGGGTTAAAAAACTTTAAAAGATACTTGGATAGAGTGTTCAGTGATAATATTTTACAGTATCCAACTCACACCTGGTTGAATCAAATAATGGGTTGTTAGGACAGGAAACATAAATAGTTAGAATTCAAATTCGATGACGAGGAACCCACTTTGAGACTAATAATGGTTGGAGACGGCTTGAATGGGTAATGAAGAAAAACTTTAATATAAGTTTAACATAACAGCAAATGTACAACGTTTCAACAAGGTTCTGTCATCATCAGGTACTTGCTGTTATGTTAAACTTATATTAAAAGTTTTCTTCATTACCCATTCAAGCCGTCGTCATCGAAAGAGAGTATGGGTTGGAGGGCTTAATGAAATAGTTAGAACGTTTTGTACATTTACAACATTGCTATTAGGTTACATATCCCATCAATGTTAATGAAATTGCAAGCGTAATATATTATATTAAAAAACACACACACACACACACACACGCGCGCGCACACTTGATAATTGATTTTTGTTTTTAATCATCCCACGAAAACTAGAAACATAATATAGTGTTGCGTCAGCGAGGTCACGTGACTAGTATCACGCCACCTGTTCCTTCAAGAATGCCCTAGCATTTACTAGATATGTGTTAGTCTTGTATATATAAGACGTTCACAACGTGACGGGACAACAGTGTAATGAGTAATTGAATGTATGCGGACAAAATATTGTTGGCCACGTGAGACATAGCGTTGTTATAAAGCGACTGTTGAAATTAAGTGTATCGTAAAGTTATATTCAGAAAGAATAAACCAGTTTTATTTAAGAAAGGACTTGTGTCGCTAAAGTTTCGTCGGAACGAATTTACGGAAAATTAACTAACGAACGGAGACGTAACAGTAGAGTTTAGAATTCGATTATCTAACGTTTCACGTACATGTTTGTTTGTTGATAATACTGTAGGTAGCTTCTGCGAAACGGTTTGTTGATGATTATTCAACAGATGTTTTATGGAAGTTTAGCGGATTTTCATTCAAAACGCTCAGGTGGTAGATACTGGCCTGGAATAATCTCTATGAGCTGAGAATTGTAAGTTCAAGTTTTTGTCAGGGTTGATTTCTTGAAAACCGTGATTTAGTGTTGGTTTGTTTATTTGTAGTTAAGCGGAACGCCTTCCAGACCTGCCGCTGAGCCAGTAAGGGCTAGTGTCGGTAAAGAAATTTTATGATTCAATAATTTCTTACACCTCTCTTTCCAGTGCCTTGCCGAAAAAATAAATTATGTTGCGTTTAAGTTTATATTCGAAGTATTGAAAATAATTTACGCTCTTTATTGTTCATCTTTCAAGCGAAAAATTACAGAATTTTACGAAAATAAAAAGTGTCATCTCAATCACCAACTGTATGTTCGTGTAAAGGTTTATAGACATTTTATGATCTTTGAAACACAGCAATTCAGTAAAATATGTTATTTCTGCCATGTCTGAGATATATGTATGTTAGTAACATTACCTTATTTACAATGCCTAGTTCAAGAGGTTCGTTTTTTGTTTTGATATAAAATTTTTGGAAATGAGCATTCTACAGTTCATTGCAAGCGTCATCATCGGTTTAAAATAATAATAATTATTGTTATTTTTAGATGATATCCGAAGACATGGGATTCCAGAAAAAAACGAAAATTAAACAATCACTTACATACCCGTATCTGCCCGTTACCTGGGAATCAGCCTTAGCCTACCTCCATACCGGGCCCACGTGTGCTTCCTCGCCCGTGTTATCTTCCTTCAGCTCCTGGCCAGCATCTACTGGAACAAAAGTTTTATTACAACTATCTCCAAACGTGTCGTACTGCATAGAGAGGTGCTTTTTTAATTCTTTTAATATCTTAAAACTTTAGTTTTACCAATTAGCGTCAGGTCTTGCTGTTTTTCTTAGTGCAAAGTTATACAATGGGCTATCTGTACTCTGTCCAATGCAGGAAATAGAACCCCAAATTTTAGCGTGGTAAGTCCGTAAAATGACCACTGACCCACCGAGAGATCCGCAAGGTTAAGCAGTAATTTTGAAACATTTGTTTCAAACTCATTGTTTTGTTCTTTTAAATTCTTTCGAGAAATGATGTTTTCTTACAGTTAAATTAAACACGGGCTATGTGAATTGTATAATGTATTAAGAATAGTGTTATATTTTGTAACGAATCTATGCTCCTAATATAAAGTTATTCTGGTGGTTTAAGTCACTTAAAAGAATTAATGTGCTAAATTGTGTAACAAATTATTCGTTATCTTCAGGTCAAATCATAATGGCTTTTGTTTTATCGTTAATCATGAATATATATATGTATACATATATACATATAATTGTTTTAAGATTCGCAAGCCAGTTCTGAAATTTCTTGGAATATTTGTTACTGTTTTAACAATTTATAAATTTCACTTTGTATTTTGAAATATAATTTGACTTTGATTATGTAATATAACTTTCCTCACATACTGCACAATTATTACGTTGGCAAAATCCCTTAAACTCAACTTAAAGGACAGTTAATAAATGCTTGTCAATTAATATAAAGAAGTTGATTTGCTGCTTCATTTTAATTTCTATTATATGTATTAAACAAAAGTGTAAAACAATTTAAATAATATGCAAAATTATTATACGTGATTATAGTTTGGAATATATTTTGTTTGTTACTTTTATGTGAAATTATTCTACTCACCTCAATCGTGTATCTCAGGGATGAAATAAGTTTATTGTTATTGACTTGCAGCAATTCTTCAGCCTACCTAACATCAGAAAGATTACAACATGAACCAAGTATTCATAGGAGTAGTCCTGAAGATGAATCAGAAAAGTAGGATTTTATTTTTCTAATTTTATTACTTTTAAGTGTAATCCAAGTATTACATCTAATGTTTGCTACACTTATATTAGTCAACATGTAGATGAATGATGCTGAAATGTAAGAGACGGTGAGCGTGATTTTTATGCCAATTTTGGGTATTATCTTAAGCTGATTGTACTCCAACAACTATGTCTTTAAATTTGAGGTATTGTGAAGTATTTCCAGAAGCTAAAAGTCGGTGATATTGAGAAAATGATGAAGATTTACACACTGATTCAGTTAGGTTTTATTACTTACATAACATTGTTTTCCTGAATTTAAGATGAAGGTTTAAAATCATGCTATAAGTATAAGGTTTAAACTACATTTTTGAGGAGGAAGAAAATAACCATTTCAAAAGGAAATTGTTGAATTTTAGTGAACAACTCCCTGCTGGGACCTTGAAAACGTATAACAACTAAAATTAGATAAATCTTTCTAGTATGATTCAGAAGCACTTAGAGACTTGTGATTTTATACTAACAAATTTACAAAGTCCAAAGAAAAAAATAAGCAAAGCTAAATGAGTTAAAACCAGGTTGTCATTCATGCCATTTAAGTCTTATTCAAAATACTAGATAATTCTGCTAAACACATTCATAGAACATACTGTTGGAAATATTTAGATGTATTATCACGCCAAAGATGGTATTCTAAGCTCTTGCATTTGATATATATAAAGATTTATTTGTGTTTGCTATGTAAAGTAATATGGATCCACCAGAATAAAAACAAACAAACTCATACTTCATGACCTAGTGATGGTTTGATTCATATGTTATCCACATGTAATGATTTGGTAAAAATCTTTTAAATTTGCTGTGCTGAGTACACGTGTGGATGATATGCAGTTACTTACTCCACATTTATAATTGTTTATGTGATGCCTGTTTAAAATCGGTTTAACTAATTATTGTCTTCTCCTAAGATTGCAGGTTTATTTCCTTTTTATTTCTCTTATCTAGCATTTTTGTCATTCTTCCAATCTAGGGTTCCCCTCTTTCATCTTCCTGCGGATGACCATGCTTTTAGCCATGAATATCTATAAATTTGTTTGACTAGAGTAGTAGGATGAAAATATATTTCCATAGAAATATTAAAACAAGATTAATGAAATAAGTAAAAAGATAATACAAATTTTATAATATATATATGATACTATATAGGTAAAATTCTAGAAACTTCTAACATGATTTATAAATAAAAATGGCATACAGGGCAGAATATTGAACTCAGTAGTTCACCTACATTGAAGGTTATCTTGATAGTTCTTTTGATAACACACTTATTTCTAGAGGTTTTTTTTTTTTGCACAGATCCAAAATTATTATAATCTGTTGGAAAGCTTACCGCTCTATTACTAGATAATCACCAAAGATGATTGATGATTCTGTCCAAGCTGTCTTCTATCTTTAGCAAGACCACTCAAGTATACATAAACCCATGATTATTTTGTTAAGGTAGAGCAGTAGACTGCTGAGAATAGAAGAGTTATTGTGGGTTTGAAATCAATGCAGAATCATAGAATACACACAATTTAGAATATATAATGTGAAATATGCCTTTTGGATAATGGTTCAAGCAACTGATATTAATCATTATTTATTCTAACTGTAGCTATCAAAAACACCATGATCCTACACAGTCTCCATCATTGTTCCCACCACATGCAAAAGAACAAAAACAAATCAAGAAAGAACCTTCATGTGGAAGTGATTGGGAGTACAACACTTCCTGTATGAGCATGTTGTTAGATTCAGAGGAACTGTCATCAATGAGTACTTCCTTAAAAACAATTAAAGGTGAGTGTAGTTGTTCCAGTTAGAACTGTAAGACTATTTTATATGCATAACTTAGTTCATTCTGCTTCAGCATCTTCACTAAGGATAGATGGGCCAAAATAATATAGGGGTTGTGAGTGTTTTAGTACTGGAAAGAGTACAGTAAAAGTCCTATTCATTGCTATTTGATTCTGTAAATCAAATTTATATTATACTTTACATATCATAGTTTTACTGATTAAGTAGAAATTGAGGACCCTTAATACTTATTTATATATAAAAGTGAATTATTTTTAGTTGTTTATTTGTTGCAGCTCTTGCAACTATTAGTTTACACTTATTCATTTATTTCTTAACAATACTATAGATGAGGAGTATTTTGTACCTACTGTTACGTTTAACTTAATGTGCATGAAGTCAATCTGTTGGACTGACCCCATATTGGAGAAAGAATGTTGATTATAATTCTGAATTTACAACATATATCTACATGAAATGTGGCAAACTTTCAGAAAAATGTACACGTCTGTTGTACACAAAATAGTAGATGTGTTACAAAAGTATTTGTACTCAAGATATGTCTGTGAATTGATTATGTCAGTCTAACTCATATTCTGAAAAATTGCAATGCAAAATGTTCACATGAAGAATCAATGAAAATACTTTTGTCCATCATACATTTTGCATTGCATTTTCATAACTTCTAAAACCTCCAAAATACGTTTATAGTTTTTTTAGTTTCCCTGTATATTGTATCTTGTATTTACTCTTCTCTACCATGATCTGTCACTAAATCAGCAATGTAGTGTAAAATGAATAATTGATAACTCTGACATCAAATACAAAATACCATGTTGAATGGTCCTCTGCATGTGCACTTTAACCCCCACCCATGTACATAGGGTTAATTGGTTGGTAATTCTTTTAATTATCAAAAGTATGTTAGCCTTGTGCTAGAACAAGTTCATAATAATGTTTTCATCAAATAAACATCTATAATTAATTCAAAAGTTACAGTTAAAAATTATTGTAGATCTTAACTATATATAATTTACATTTAATCAGAAGTTCTTTATAATTGCAAGTAATTTCATTTGCATATACTTGAAAACATTATACATCTTTCATACAACAAAATTAAAATATTTTGGACAGCATAACAAGCTTTATCCATCTGCAGCAATTTTAAGATGGCATTTCTAGCATAGATCCATCACATTTCCTTTTGCAGTTTAAAATGCCATCTTCAATATACCACAGACAGATGAAGTTCCTTGCACTATTCCAAATTTATTATCATCCACCACCTAAAACATTGTTTTAATAAAATTAAAACAAATAAGGCAAAAATCTTATTATTTATCCACTTGTTGAAGTTGCAATTCAGTTTACTATATCATGTGTCTGTTACTAAAAATACACTTAGTATGAAGTGAAACGTACTTACCACGGTATAATTTTCCAAATTTTCCTCACTTTGCCTTATATTAAGACTGTCATTTTTATAGACCTAAAATACTCTATCCAAGTAAGCTGGAACTTGATAGATAAAATAATCATTGACAGTATGTGCCTTTTGTATTATTTCATTATGAAGTAATTAGGCCTGAACATAAGTAATAATACATTTAAGTATAATGTTTGTCCAATCAGGATTTGTAAAAAAAATCAACATAATAAAACCCAGTTCCATATGTGGTTCTTTAATCAGTGTAAACATGTTTGTTTTTTCATCACAATGTAATCTCACCATATAATCTTCCTTTTCTTTTTTAATCAGTGGAAACAAAGACAGAGGAACAGCCATTATCCAGTGAAAATCAGCAATCAGCTGAAGGTGTAGATGTTAGTAGAGAGCTAGATGAACTTAGTACATTACTTCAAATTCATCATCTACAAGCAGATGCACAGGAGAAGATTATGTCCAAGGTAGAAAGTATCATCTCAAAGTACTGTTCTTATTTGGCTAAGACCATTCTGAAACATCAATGCTTGCAGGAGGTTAGTATTACGGGTTAGTCTTAGCATTAAGGTTAAGTCTCTAACATAACTGTTAGTCAGATATAATTTTTTGAATCTATTTTTTCTGTTCCATGAATTAGGTAACTGCCTCAAACTTGCCACTTTTTCTAATATATGTTCAAAAGATTATTTAGAAAAGAGATTTCTTTTTCAACAATATAAATTGTTATGTTCTCATATTTAGTTATGTTTAAAGTGGGTCTAATTCCTTTTAGGCTAACTTTGTATATAGTCATACTTATTGTTGTTACAATTATATGTGATACTTCCATATTTGTTCCAGTAAAATGAAGATAGAAAATTGAATTGTAACTATAATATTGTTAAATTAGTTTTTAACAT